TTTTAAATAATTTGTCCAGGGAGAGTCAGAGAGAGAAAGGAAAAGTGAGAAAGCAAGCTGTCAGGTCAGGAACTCAAACTGCAGTTGGCCATGTGGGGATCCAGTGCCTTTAACCACCACGCCACCTGCCGGCCCCCAAATATTGCATTTTTACCTCCTAAATTCCATTTCTCTTGGCAAAGAGAAGTCTCAAGATCTGTCCTTGACAGTAAAAAAGACCTCATTATGAATTATTTCTTTTTAAATTGCATTGTACAGAGTACTACATTGTATGTAAATCTTATTTTATTCGATTTTTCATATTTTTATATTTCCACAAACTATGTGTCACTGAAACTTAATCTGATAAAGAACTGGCCAACCGACTTGATGGCAGATATCCAAAGAAAACTGCATTTTTTTTTCTGTATATTATTGTTTTGGTGTAGAGGGTACTTAAGAATCAACCATGATTACATGATCTTTTCTGATAGTTGCTTGCTTCATTCCTGTTTAGATGGTTGCATTGAAAAAAAAAATGGATCATTTGTAGGTAGAGAAGTTCTTAAAGATAAACTACATAGTTCTGAAGCATAAAATTTAGGGTGACTAGTGGTATGCTGGCTAAGTCAATTCATGATAGGTCTCTTTTCCATAAAATGGCAATTCTGGACCTTGAGAGAAAATAGAAAATGAGTCATGAATGCCCATCGATTCGACTGATGACAAGGAGTTTCAGACACATTTTGTTATTCACTTGGGCATTTTCAAAGTCAACACCAGATGGTCATCTCCCAACATAATTGACATAAGGTGTCTTCAAAAAAATGCAAGGGAAATGCATATTATGAAAAAAACTGTGCATGATTTTCTAAATATTTTTGCACACTTTGTTTACATTTTCCACAGACTTCTTGAAGACCCCTCACACGTGGTTCACTCTTCTTTTACCTTCAACTCATTTTTTTAAGGCCAACCTTTCTCTCTCCAAATCTCTGGTTTGGTATGTCTCTGCCACTCTCCTCTTAAAACACTTTCAAAATGTATTTTTTAAAAACTTTGCTTGTCCCATAAAGAATACATCAAAGAAGCCTCTAAAAATGGAAATATTCCTATTTTCTAGACCAGTACCTTTTCTGTTTTTGTTGACCCTTGCAACCGCACAGAGAAGATGAACTTAAAATGCAATCAAGTTTTAGAAGTCCAGGAACACAAAAGACGAAGAACGCTTGGTGAATTCAGAGGAAACTGAGTCCTTTGCTCTCCACTTCTGAAGTAAGTAGATGCTAGTTTCTAATGTCACTTCTCTAATAAAACTCTTGGACATGTACACACCAGTCAAGCTAACCTGTTCTTCAAAATGCATGAAAAGAATAAACAATTATTTTACTTTTTTATACGTTATGTTAATATATATCTCGATTACCATTCGTTTTACAAGATTTCTCTCATTATTTAATGGTGCCATATTTGTACAAACTAGACAGCAGACACCTGTTTGTCTTTCCTCCATCTTTCTCTTTCAGCACATACCTTAGACTCTTCAATTAAAAACCCACAGATGGGGGGAGGTAAGTATTATTTATTGAAGATACTCTGCATCCTAGAGAGACAAGCCTGATGTGTTATACGCTCAAGGAATTTCTTTCATTTTCTCAGTAACTAAAAGTTCTCTAGCTGGCTAGACCTTCCTCGTCAAAGGGTCATCCAAGTGGGCTGTGCCTTGTGGCTGCTGTCCGTGGTACTGAAACCAGTATTTCATACGCTGAGAGTGGAGCCTGGCTCTTAGGAAAATGCTTTCAAGAAAACTGAATCTAAGACTTGAGAGGAAAATGGAAAAAAGAACTTTAAGCCCCCAAAACGTAAGAATAAAAACAGACCATCGATATCACTATACCTCAATCTACAATCCTTTCTTTTAAATCCCTACAAGTTTCGTTGTTTTCTTAGGCATCCATGCAATGAATTCATTTCTAAAAGGACATTTGGGTTTTGTTCCTTCAGTTTTCTTTCTTTCAGTTTCAGAGAAAGGGGTTCCTCCACCCATTCTCCACCCAACTTTCACAACTTTTTATTACATGTGGAAATTATAATCAGTTTTCCAACATTATTTAATCCCAACTTGAGCCACTCTATCAATTTTCACTGACTCGTAGGATATTTCTGACCTCATGTTCAAGATTGAAAAAAAGAAAAGAAAACCCTAAAACAGTTGGCTATCAGAGGGATCACAGCTCATGTTAAAAGAATTACCCCTGGAGAATGACCTGGTTCCCTCATGTTCTTTGATGTTCTACTAATGAATAGTAAGATATATTAAAAATATAAATATCTAAACTAGATCGTCTTTCTGGAAAAAAACAAAACAACAAATAAAAACTTTGAAAACCTAAAAGGTTCCTCAACTGTTCCAGGGAGTCTGAAAATTATTAAAATGAATGAGGAGATACCTTTACTAAGAAAAAGAAATGTCTGTGTCAAATGGGCAGAACTCTCTTGTGCCAGTGCCAGGCCAGTGTCAGACAGAGTTCTACAACTCCAGTGTCAGGGCAATTCACACAAGGGGGAAGAAACTTGCTCCTTTTAAACATCCAGGATTCCTTCCTCATTTCCACTTTGCCCATAGCAGCAATGTGAGTTTCCTTAATGGTATGGCAAATGAAGAGAAAGATACTTTACTTCAAAAGCCAACAACCCAGGTGCTTCCTGCTCTGCCTCAGGTCGCTGCTCAGTAGAAGTGGTGACTGGACTAAGAGCTATGGTGGGCCACCCCTGGACCTCAGTCAGGGTGCCATACTCCCCACCCAGGCCTTGGCTCTTGCCACACCCAATCTCCCAGTATTATTGAAAAGTGAGCTGAGTGTCTTTTCTTCTCTTTACCCTTGGGAGATGTGAGAGACTGGGTGAGATGGTCTCCATGCAATCTTTCTGTTGATCAAGATTCTCTTTGCAGAACATTGCAGATCTGGAGAAAGGACACCAAAGAGAATATTTGGAGCAAAAAACCCCACAACTTTATCTAGGCAGGAAGGCAAAGCACCTTGGGAAATGAGTTCTGGTCATGAAATGGCTGTTATAAACCCTGATCTTTGACTCTTTTCCAGGGAAATAACCCCTCCCAAGTCCAAGCCAAACTTCGGTAACAACTGCTTCATAGTAAACCATCTAAATATGCCCTGCCTTTAAAAATCCCCCACCAAATCATTCCCACATAAATAATTAAAACAACATCACAGTTTAAAAGCCACTTAATTTTAATAGCATATTTTAATGAAAAAAAAAGCAGCATACTTTGCCAACAAAACATTAGGATCATCTCTTCAAGGAAAGACAATCAAACAACACCAAAAATAACTTAATACAGTACCATAATAAATAAACCATCTATTAACAAAAACAACAAACCAGGCTCATATACAGAACTCAAGACTTTGGAGAGCCTCAAAGGGAACAGCAATACAGCAAAATCTGTAAGAATATATCTATATGTGCATCGTTTTGAATGAAATATTTACAATAGACAAGGTACCCGTCACCATGTACCTGTTTGTTGTTGTTGTTGTTGTTGTTCCAAAAGAATTCTACCAAACAATGTGAATTTACAAGCAGTGCACTGTCTTTCTTAGAGTTCAAATTAGTTTTTCTACAAACAAACCTCCCAAAGGAAAAACTGAAGGATTTCCTAGCAATGTTAAAATGTAGCCAAACAAAGCAATTTAAAACTGGAAGATTGAAATACCTTGGTGAAATCTTAAGATCTGGAAGGGCAAACACCAAGTAGTAAATGCAACTAAAGCTAGAGAACGATGCATTAATCATGCTTTCAACTGCGTTTTCTCTTCTGTTAGAGGTGTGTGTGTGTGTTCAAGGGTGAGTGAGGGCGTGTGTGTGTGTGTAGTGGGGACAATATGGGAATCCCCATTAAATATGTAACAAAGTAAACAATACTTTGGACAGTGAAGCAGGTCTACACAATTAAGACATCCATTACTGAGTGTCCACTCACAAATCAGAACACTACCATCAAAACAAAGAAAAAACCCAAACCAATCTTCATTCAGAGTGAGAATATACAAATGGTCTAAAAGGAATACCATATAAGAGGAAAGCTGAAAAAAAAATCGAGTAAACTTATCAAACGAAAAATTTTGAGCATCACTAACTATACGTATCCCCCCCATTTTTTCTTTAGACTAAAGTAGTTCAATTAATTAGAATGTGCACAAAATTAAGTTGCCAGAGAGATAAATTAATAATTTACAGAGGGTGGTTCGGCAATAATCTAATCATCGCTTTCAAGATCAGTGAACACGGCCGTCGCAACTCCTTTCTTAAGCATTAATACTTCAGAGAAGGGAGAAGGGGGTAAGAACCACAATAAAAATATATATATAATATACAGTGTAAATGCAGAAAATCTGCCATCTTTTTTTTTTAATTCAAAATACTTTAGAGATGTCTCTATCACATTTAGCATCAACTCTAGGTTAAAGTTTCAGTCCTGAATCAACTTCTATTTCCGAAAAATAGCTGCAAAGTGTACTTTTAAACTTGAACAGGGTGATGTCTGTAAGAATAAAAACAAATCTTACTTGATCATTCTTGTGAACTTTTCAAAGGCTGTTTCATCTGCCTTCCTGCAAACAGCCCGCTCCACACTTCCTCTGAAGAAGCTGAGGTGGGGTTACAAGGGACAACTTTGCTACAACTGGACAAATCCCATCTTTCGTTTTCTTTCTTTCCAGAACCTTTCACATTTTCACCGGCTTGGGCTCAGGGGCTCGGTCGTTCGCTCCCTCTTCAGCCCTCGCTTTCTCTGGGTTCACATTTACCGGAATCGTTTCTGGTCGCCAAAAGTGGAACGAAAAGAGACCGCAGAAAGGGGAGGG